CCCGCCCCCCAGCTTTATTTAGGTGGTAGATCGTCTGCACTGATTGTTAGTTGTGGTTTGCTTCCTATAGTGGCCTCTGATGAGTCATGTTCTAAGAATTCTTCTCACTCAGACAAAGGCATGAGGGCAGTTTCCCAAAAGTTTTCATTTTACTTTTTTTGTGTTTTTTTTTTTATTTAAAACAGTTTTACATATTAAGAAAATGATTAATCACAAGTTTACACAGACTAAATAAACTGCTGCTGTCAGACCTGGTCGTACCCGTTGGTAACTGTACTATAAATAATACTCTGTGGTTCTGAGCACCCTGATGTTAGTTAGAAAAGACATTTAAAGTCTTAGAATTCATACACATTTTCCCAGATAAGTGAAATCTTTGACCTAAGTCATTAGGATTCAATTTGTGCCATTAAAGTCTAAACAACTTTAAAGCCCTCCATTAGCCGCTGACAGGGATTAAACCAAGTGTTTGCGCCAAACAAAAACAACACATCTGTTTTGGATATGTCTAAGTGACATTTTTCAAAAGTCATTTTCATTTTGTGTCACTCTGCTCATTCGTTTTAAGTTTTTGAAAATTCAGAGGCTGTTTATTCTGCTTTAGGAGGTCAAGATAAATAGGCACGGAAGGCTAAGTAGAGTTTTTTTTTAAAGAAAGGATTAAGGGGTCATTCAACTAATGAATTGATCATAATTAAGGGATAAATAATATTTTAAGCTATGCAAAGGGTAAAACTTGTTGTGAGCATAGTCACACAATTCAAGCTGCTTGAGCATGTAAAGTTCAGCTAATTAGCCATAGTCTGTGAAATGTACATTTATTACAGTAAAAGCTATAAACTCTGAAGATGAGTAAACTTAAACTCATTAGACTTGACAGGGTCTGAACTCATAGGTACAAATCAACATTGGGGAAATAATATTGACATATCAACCTGTTCATATTATTTTTCTCAGTGCTGTGTTTCTCTTAGAAATATAACTAGAAATAAAGAGATGAAATAAAGAGACAGAGAGCATCACAGTATCACTTTCTATAAAAGTTTTAACAGTTTTTTTTAACATTTCATCAATAAATATAGTGACTCTGCTCCTTTATGTCCATCAGTGACATTCACACATAAAAATCCACACGCTCTTAGCCACCCATTTACATCCCAAAGGTTAGTGACACATTTAACAGGATTTTCCTCATGCTTGTTGGACATCATGAAATAAAAAAATAAATAACAACCATATCACTGACTGATAGAAGAGAATCAATATCACACAAGTTACTGCAAAGACATGAAAAGTGTTGTGCGCATATGTGTCCTTCCAACTGTGAATCTTCAGTTTAAAGCTGCTTGCGTGCACATGTCACAGGTGTGAAATCCCTGAGTAAGTGATGGCCTTTTTCCTTCATATTACAGAAACAGTATTTTACTGGACGAGGAGAGTCACCATCAATAAACGCACTGATTAGAAGTGCTGTGAAGTGAGGTAATGAGATTCACCGCCATGCCCCCCTTCAACCAATCATCGCACTTCTTGATTAATGAGCCTTTTGGGTCAGACAGGGGCATTACTGCCAAGCGGCTAATAGATCACACATTCACTGATTCCGTGTGTGCGCGACTGCCTGAATGTGTACGCGTGAAATTGAGGAAGGACAATGAAGATGACGACTGGCTGAGCTCCATCATTTTCCAATGAACCAACTACGTCCACTCCTCCTACAGTAAACGAAACATTAGATATCTGTTTGCTTTCTCTCCAGGTTTATGTTTGCGTGCACCTGAGACCACTGGTAAAACACTGCTTATGTAAACTACAGCTGTTAACTTTGGCCCTGACGATAAAAAAGGATAATAGAAAACAGCCGTGTTCGGGATGCAGTGAGCTATGATGCCACGGAGGACACACGGCATATTTTGACCTGCTGTTGCAGAGTTTCTTGATAAG